TTAGGAGGAGCTTGAAGACATAGCTGTTCCAGTGTGCCTTCCCGGAATAATGTTCCCATAGCATTTTGTCTTCCAAAGCACTTTACATTTCTTTAGGTCTGCTCGTATGCCCTTCCACAAACACCGGTATCACCTTTCGTCCATGTCCCAGCATTATTTCCAATTTTAACTCTACATTTGGCCTTCCCACTGTTTTCAGTTGTGTGTTGTCTTGATAATGTTGTGTATTTTATTGTTTATGTTGTTTAATTGCTTGTATTGTTGTTATTATTGCTTGTATTGTTGTGTTTGGACTCGGCCTCGTGTAAACCGCACCGAGTCCCTTGGGGAGATGGTAGCGGGGTACAAATAAAGTGTTGTTGTTGTTATTATTATTATTATTATTATTATTATTATTATTATGGAAGGATGCTACTCAGAGGTACAGCTAAAGAATCCAAGGAACTAACTATGCTTCCAAGGAGCTGTCCAAAGTCCTGAAACTACAGTTGGAATAAGTCAGACATGAGTCCATTCCAGAGACCCCAAGGAATGAATCAAAGTGCTGAAGCTATGGTTGGGACAAGTCACACATGACTCCATTTCAGAGGCATTTGGCCTGCATGTATAGGAGTCTAGTGTCTAGATCCAGGGAAGTCATGCTACCCATGCTCTATTCTGCCTTGGTCAGAACACACCCGGAATCACACTGTGTCCAATTCTGGGCACCACAATTGAAGGGACATATTGATTCTAAGCTGGAATGTGTCCAGAGGATGGTGACTCAAAGGATCAAGGGTCTGGAGAACAAGCCCCATGAGGAGCGGCTTAAAGAGCCAAGCATATTTAGCCTGCAAAAGAGAAGGCTGAGTGGAGACATGATGACTGCCATGTGTCAAGATGTGAGGGGAAGCTGGAATGTGTCCAGAGGAGGGCGACTCAAAGGATCAAGGATGCGGAGAACAAGCCCCATGAGGAGCGGTTTAAAGAGCTGAGCATATTTAGCCTGCAGAAGACAAGGCTGAGTGGAGACATGATGAGGGCCATGTGTCAAGATGTGAGGGGAAGCTGGAATGTGTCCAGAGGAGGGCGACTCAAAGGATCAAGGGTCTGGAGAACAAGCCCCATGAGGAGCGGCTTAAAGAGCTGAGCATATTTTGCCTGCAAAAGAGAAGGCTGAGTGGAGACATGATGAGGGCCATGTGTCAAGATGTGAGGGGAAGCTGGAATGTGCCTAGAGGAGGGTGACTCAAAGGATCAAGGGTCTGGAGAACAAGCCCCATGAGGAGCGGCTTAAAGAGCTGAGCATATTTAGCCTGCAAAAGAGAAGGCTGAGTGGAGACATGATGAGGACCATGTGTCAAGATGTGAGCAGAAGCTGGAATGTGCCTAGAGGAGCTGACTCAAAGGATCAAGGATCTGGAGAACAAGCCCCATGAGGAGCGGCTTAAAGAGCCGAGCATATTTAGCCTGCAAAAGAGGAGGCTGAGTGGAGACATGATGAGGGCCATGCGTCAAGATGAGAAGGGAAACTGGAATGTGTCCAGAGGAGGCGACTCAAATGATCAAGGATCTGGAGAACAAGCCCCATGAGGAGTGGCTTAAAGAGCTGAACATATTTAGCCTGCAAAAGAGAAGGCTGAGTGGAGACATGATGTCAAGATGTGAGGGAATCTGGAATGTGCCCAGAGAAGGCGACTCAAAGGATCAAGGATCTGGAGAGCGAGCCCCATGAGGAGCAGCTTAAAGAGCTGAGTATATTTAGCCTGCAGAAGAGAAGGCTGAGAGGAGACTCATGTGTGGCTCATGAACAATATCTACTTTTTGCAATCTAGCCTAGTTGCTTTTCACACACACACGTACACACACATATATTCACATGCCTCTTGGTTAAATATTTATGTACTTGAAATAAATCATGTGAAGACATCCATCTTGGAATCGATTATCTGTTTCGTTATGGCATGCATAGATTTTTTTTTCTGTTTGATTTTTGATTTGTGTTGAGTTCTGTTAAGTTGGTTTTTATTCATTTCACTAAGAAGCATCTAACCCAGTCATGGGCAAACTTTGGTCTTCCGTTGTTTTGGACTCCAACTCCCACAATTCCTAAGAGTCTACTGGTTGTTAGGAATTGTGGGAGCTGGAGTCCAAAACACCTAGAGGACTGAAGCTTGTCAGTCTGATCTAACCTAATACGTTTACTTTTGTTTTGATCAACTAGAAATCCTACCATTTCCACCCAAAAAAAGGATTGTGGGATTTTTACACATCTGTAAAGTGAATATTTGAGGAAGATGAAATAAACTCCCAAAAGATCCCTTGCTGGCAGTAGTGTCAAGAAAAGTGTTATATACCATCTACTTAATCCCATGGTTTTCGGTGTTAACAACCAAGATAACAGCAGCTCAATGTATTTAAATTCCTCCTCATCCAGCATTAATATAAGCTGATTTGATTTTCTGCATTTTGAAGAAAGGTGGACATATATATTTAGATACAGGTTGAGCATTCTGAAATCCAAAACACACCAAAATCCAAAACTGTCAACATGAGGGGCTGGGAGAAAGACAACTTTGCTTTTTGATGGTTCAGTGAACACAAACTTTGTTTCATGCACAATGTTATTAAAAAGCATTCTGCTTGTGAAACTCGGTGGTTGCTGTCACAGGACGTCCAACTCTTTGTTTGTCACGCAAGTCAGATGTTCCCACCTCAACATCTTCAAACTTACTTGCCCAACGGCGCACAGTACAGAGAGCTGGACAGGGGGAGTGTGACTCTGTTGGTTCTCTTGGACATCTCAGCGGCTTTCAATACCATCGATCATGGTATCCTTCTGGGACGACTCTCTGGGATGGGTCTCGGGGGCATGGTTATGTCGTGGCTTCGGTTCTTCCTGGAGGGTCGATCCCAGATGGTGAAGCTGGGAGATGCCTGCTCGGACCCCTGGCCTTTGACCTGTGGGGTCCCGCAAGGCTCTATTTTGTCTCCCATGCTTTTTAACATCTACATGAAAACGCTGGGAGAGGTCCTCCGGAGTTTTGGAGTTAGGTGCTGTGAAGGAGTGTGGTTAAAGCTTACTGCCACCTAATGTGTGAGGAAAGCTAGGCAACGATCAATATCAGCTTAGGAGTAGGCCTGGGTAACAACGGAAAAATTTGTTTCTAAAATCGATTTGTATTTGGGGGTTTTTTTTGTTTCGATATTTAAAATAATTACAAAATTTTCCTTTAAAAAAGTTCGATATTTACAAAATTTCGTAAATGTGAAAAAATACAAAACATTAACGAATCGATTTCCGAAACAATAACGAATCGATTCGTTAATGGCGGACGCGACCGCGAAATACGCTAAAAAACCTCCAAAAACTTCTGAAGCTTCCCTCTCCCTCTGTTGTTGACTGTTGGTGTGATATTATAATTTTTTTCACTAATTAAACAAAAAACTTGCCCCAGACATGCGGAAATAATAACGAAACGACCTCAGAACAATAACGAAACGAATACAATAACGAAATACGAAGCATTTACAAAACGTGTTTAAAAATTCGTTTTTTTTAAAAAATTGCTCCAGAATGGTTCGTTATCATTTTGTAATTGAAAAAAATAACGAATTATTAACGAATTATGAATTAACGAAACGAAACCGCCCAGCCCTACTTAGGAGCTATTTTATAAAGGGACTATTAATTACAGAAGGCTTTATTCATTTGATAGCGTAGCGTTTACTGTCCCTGGCTTGACTTTACTTCTTATGCAGGCTGTTTGCCTTGAGAGAAACTGTATCAGGCAAGGCTTGAGGAAAACAGTAACAAGTTTATTTTAACAGGAGTATAACATGTTTAACTGTTTCTTCACAAGAGGCACAAATCTTGATTGGTTACATTAGTAAGGTTTCATGAGTAATCTCAGGCACAGACTTCAAGAGGTTTCTATAAGCAGATGTAACTTTTCTGGACAACTGTCCTAAATAAAACAAATAAGCTAAAAGGCTTATTAACAGAATTGGCTCCCAGCCAAACCTTGATTCTTAACTCAGAATCAATAACCCCCTGTAGTTTTATCACTACCGGGTCCTTTTCTGTAACCCCTTTGGTCACCAATTAATTCCCTGAATCTCCACCCAGAGATTCAGTCTTCCCTATAGCACACCGGCTACAGACACATTCCCTGAATCTCCACCCAGAGACTCAGTCTTCCCAGTAGCTCACCGGCTTACTGACTGACTTTCAAAACAGCTGCCCCGTGAAGAGGCAGTTGGCTCCGCCCCTGTTGCTATGGCAACTCAGCTAATGCCAAGCCACCATCTCCAACAAAACATAATCCTCCATACTTACCATCCATAAACTACTGTTTAAATTACACATAACCAAAGGAATAAAATTTACACATCGTCACAGGTGCCATCTCTATGCAGATGACACACAACTCTACTACTCTTTTCCACCTAATTCCAAGGAGACCCCTCGAGTGCTGGATGGGTGCCTGACCGCTGTGGCTATCTGGATGAGGAAGAACAAGCTGAAGATCAATCTTGACAAGACAGAGGTCCTCCTGGTCAATCGTAAACTGTATCGGGGTATAGGATGGCAACCTGTGCTGGATGGGGTTACACTCTCCCTGAAGTCACAGGTCCGCAGCTTGGGAGTTCTCCTGGATTCATCACTTACGCTTGAGGCTCAGGCGTTGGCGGTGTCCGGGAGGGCTTTTGCACAACGAAGACTTGTGCGCCAGCTGCGACCGTACCTCACAAAGCCTGATTTGGCCGGGGTGGCCCATGCCTTGGTCAACTCTAGATTGGATTACTGTAATGCGCTCTACATGGGGCTGCCCTTGAAAACGGCTTGGAAATTCCAACTGGTTCAACAGGCGGCGGCCAGGATGTTAACTGGCGCTCCTTACAGAGAGAGGTCAACCCTCCTGTTTAAGGAGCTCCACTGGCTGCCGTATACCTACCGAACCCAATTCAAGGTGCAGGTGCTTACCTACAAAGCCCTAAACGGTTTGGGACCTGCCTACCTGCGTGACCGCATCTTCGTTTATGAACCACGCGTTCCCTTCGTTCATCCGGAGAGGCCCTACTCACGATCCCACCTGTGTCACAGGCGCGTTTGGTGGGGACAAGGGGCAGGGCCTTCTCTGTGGTTGCCCCCGACTTTGGAACACCCTCCCCAAAGACATTGGACTAGCACCCACGTTGGCAGTCTTTAGGAAGGACTTGAAGACCTGGCTATTCCGATGTGCCTTTCCAGAATAGGATAACCCCCAGCACTATATCCCAGAAGCACTTTATTAGAGTTTAAGACTCTCTGCACATTGCACTTGCCCAGAATTCCAACATACCACCTCTCACACCCAGCATTTTAAAATCTGTACCCATCATTGGCCCAGCCCTGGTTTTATTGCATAATAGTGTAATGTTGTGTTATTGCTTATGTTTTTAATTTGCTTTGTATTGCATTGTTATTGTTTGCTGTTGTTGTGTTGAGGCCTTGGCCTTTGTAAGCCACATCGAGTCCTTCGGGAGATGCTAGAGGGGTACAAATAAAGTTTAATAATAATAATAATAATAATACTCACATCCACATAATCCCCATAAACAGTTTGCATTCTCTGATTAATCTCCTTTGGGGTGACACCTTCTGCTGTCAAGAATTCAATGACTGCACGTTGCTTAAGTTGCATTGGCCAACTTTGCGCAGGATTCCATACTTCGCACTTTAACAACAAAACCATTCACTGCTAAGGCTTTCTGGCAAAATGGAACTGTAGAGGAGAGTCTACCGAACAAGCCAGTATCTGCTGCATACCAGTACTGCCATCTGTTGGAGGAGTTACTTTCCATTCAACCCTTGTAGTTCAAACTAAATTATTATAAAGCAGTATAATGAAGGTCATCTTCCCTGTCCCATACTCTCACAGTTACACACTGGTTTTCCATGTACATATATTACAATATACCCACCCCAGATTAAAGAATGTACATGGATATGTTTTCCAATTACAAGATTTCATCAGAGGTGGTTTGCCATCAGAGGTGGTTCCTCTAAGACTGAGAGAATGTAACCTTCCCAAAATGATTTAATGCATGCCCATAGCCACTTACTTAGGCGATCCCTTGTTGGCCAAGTAGGATAGCCCAATTTAAGGTGCAGGTGCTTACCTACACAGCCCTGAACGGTTTGGGACCACCCTACCTGCGTGACCTCATCTCCATCTACGAACCCACACGTTCACTCCGGTCATCTGGAGAGGCCCTGCTGGTGATCCCGCCCGCGTCGCAAGTGCGCCTGGTGGGGACTCGAGACAGGGCCTTTTCTGTGGTGGCCCCCCGACTCTGGAACGCCCTCCCAAAAGATCTTAGACAGGCCCCTTTGTTGGCAGTCCTCAGAAAGAACCTGGCTGTTCCGATGTGTCTTTTCAGATTAGGAACCCCCAATACCAAATCCTAGAAGCACTTTAGTAGAACTAAGATCACTGCACACCGCACACTGCACTTACTTTATAATCCTACATATCTCCTGCCACATCAGCACTTTCAATCTTGTACCCATTACCCTGGCCTGGCCCAGTCTTATAGTGTCTTGATGTCTCGATGTATTGTTATTGCTGTTGTTTATTCTGCTTAACTGTTTTTAATTTGCTCTAAGTATTGTATTGTTGTATTGTGTTTTGAGGCCTTGGCCTATGTAAGCCGCATCGAGTCCTTCGGGAGATGCTAGCGGGGTACAAATAAAGTTATAATAATAATAATAATAATAATAATAATAATAATAATTATTATTATTATTATTATTATGGCCTTCCAGGATCAGAGTTCTGGTGGGTCCGTAGGTGACTGTGGAGCCCTATTCTTGATCTGCATCTTTCTCCCACAGTGAGGGCATTGGTTTCCAGGTGGAAGGTGGTCTCGGACAGGGTTGGCTTGACGCGCCTTCCTCTTGGCACATTTCTCTCTTTCGCCCTCCATTCATGCCTCTTGGTGATGGCCCCCTGCCTGTGGAATTCACTCCCCGGGAAAATTAGATCATCGTCATCCCTCCTCTCTTTTAGAAGGAAATGAAAACATGGATATGGGACCAGACCTTTGAGTAATCTGGCAGACTGATAAGGACAATGACGACAAGAGCTATGGAACGGATTATGATAAGCTGAATGGACTATTTACTAGGCTTGGTTGATCAAGAAAAAAATTGGTTCTAAACTCGTTTCGTATATAGGGGGCGCTGGTGGTTCGATTTTGAAATTATTTCCAAAATTTTATTTAAAAAAAGATCGGAAATACCAGGAAATACGAATCGTTTCCTTTGTTTCGTTAATGGAAGGTGCCCTTCCCTCCCTCCAGAACCATTAAAATCTCGCAGTTTCCCTTCCTTCCCTTGCAGCGAGCTTCCCCAGCAACCTCCGAGGAGTGCTGTACTTGGCCACGCCCACCTCTCCCTTCTGCATGACTGACAGCTTGCCAGGGAAGAGAAGGAAAGGTGAGGGATTTTAGAACTAATACTTTTAAAATCGCTCACCTTTCCTTCTCTTCCCTGGCAAGCTGTCAATCATGCAGAAGGGAGAGGTGCGCGTGGCCAAGCACAGCGCTCCTCGGAGGTCGCTGGGGGCGAGGCCTCCAAGGAGGGCTGTGCTTGGCCACGCCCACCTCCTTCCTCTTTGCATCGGCGGCTTTGCGAGGTGGGCGTGGCTACGCTCAGCTCTTCCTACACCCAGCTCTTCCGCATCGCCGCTTGTTGCCAGGGAGGTAGCCACGCCCACCTCACAAAGCCCACCTCGCAAAGCCGCCGATGCAAAGAGGAAGGATGTTGTTGGGGTTCAGCCTGATCCTGATCTGTGTGAACCGGATTCTCTGATAGTTTTTCCAACTGAGCAAGCTCTCCCTGACCCTGACAGTGTGGAATCTGTTGTTGATGCAGAGGTCAGCGGGGATGAAAATGAAACTCAACAGCTGGAGGAAAATGTTTTGGAAGTTAGCCGTGATATCACTAGCCGTGATATCTCTCCACCTGGGGTTTTTAATGAGGACCGAAGAGAACAGATAGTTAGAGACAGAAATATTTCCCAGTTTCTACGAAGGTCACATCGTTTACAGGAGAGACAGGCCCAGGCTTCAAAGTCAAGGGGCGTTTCAAAGAATAGCTTCTTTGGTTTAAGAGGCCTCCTGCCGGGTGCCTCTTTAGATCAAGCAACGTTTGGGACTGTGGCTGTGCCTTGGCAGAATTCCTGTGTTTCATGGCCGGTAATCCCAGAGGCTTAGTTATCAAGTTCATGGTTAGTAAAAGGCTAACAGATTCCTGGTTCTTGTATTGTGGCTTTTGAAATTTTGCTCAAGTTCAGAGATTCTACTGACTGCTGTGTTTTTCTGTGGCTTTTTGACTTTGCATTTACCTTTCTTTTGTAACCAATTTTTCATCAATAAACAAGGATTGCTTTTCCTACAGTCCAGTGTGGTGGATTTAATCTGATGGTCTCGTTTCTTGAACTGGGATGCAACAGAGGTGGGCGTGGGTAAGAACAGCTGTTCCTGAAGGCCACGCCCCCAGCATTTACAATTCACTGCCAGAAGTCGTAAGGAAGATGGCGGACGCGGCTTCGAAATGGCAAGATCACTTCCGGGTTCCCAAATCGTGTCGATACCGCTTCTAAAGGTATTTATTTAACGAATTAATAACGAGATAAGAAATTAACAAACTGAATCAACCAAGCCTACTATTTACAAAACTCGGCAAAACGATGGCCACCAGGCTGGCTTCTTTTCTAGTAGATTTTATTGTATTAACTTAATGTTTTAATTATTTAAAATTACTGTTGTTGTACATTTTACTATGTTTTTTTATTTATCGTGTCATCAGCAACCATACCATTGTATTATAATTCTAACAGAGCAAAACAAACACACAAATTAAAAAGAAAAAAAACACACAGATTTTGCAAATTTGGTAGTTGATTAAATGTCCTTTGACCAGTATCTGGCCACTTGGAGTGCCTCTGGTGTTGCTGCAAGAAGGTCCTCCATTGTGCATGTGGCAGGGCTCAGGCTGCATTGCAGCAGGTGGTCTGTAGTTTGCTCTTCTCCACACTCGCATGTCGTGGATTCCACTTTGTAGCCCCATTTCTGAAAGTTGGCTCTGCATCTCGTGGTGCCAGAGTGCAGTCTGTTCAGCACCTTCCAAGTCACCCAGTCTTCTGAGCGCCCAGTGGGGAGTCTCTCATCTGGTATCACCCATGGATTGAGGTGCTGGGTTTGGGCCTGCCACTTTTGGACTCTCGCTTGCTGGGTGTTCCAGCGAGTGTCTCTGTAGATCTAAGAAAACTATGTCTTGATTTAAGTCGTTGACGTGCTGGCTGATACCCAAACAAGGGATGAGCTGGAGATGTCTCTGCCTTGGTCCTTTCACTATTGGCTGCTACTTCCCGGCAGATGTCAGGTGGTGCAATACCGGCTAAGCAGTGTAATTTCTCCAGTGGTGTGGGGTGCAGACACCCTGTGATAATGCGGCATGTCTCATTAAGAGCCACATCTACTGTTTTAGTGTGGTGAGATGTGTTCCACACTGGGCATGCATACTCAGCAGCAGAGTAGCATAGCGCAAGGGCAGATGTCTTCACTGTGTCTGGTTGTGATCCCCAGGTTGTGCCAGTCAGCTTTCGTATGATATTGTTTCTAGCACCCACTTTTTGCTTGATGTTCAGGCAATGCTTCTTGTAGGTCAGAGCACGGTCCAAAGTGACTCCCAGGTATTTGGGTGCGCTGCAATGCTCCAGTGGGATTCCTTCCCAGGTAATCCTCAGAGCTCGGGATGCTTGTCTGTTCTTAAGGTGAAAGGCACATGTCTGTGTTTTAGATGGATTAGGGATCAGCTGGTTTTCCCTGTAATAGGCAGTTAGAGCACCTAGAGCTTCGGAGAGCTTCTGTTCTACCATCTCAAAGCTCCCTGCTTGAGTGGTAATGGTAAGAGACGATTTTACTATGTTGAGTTGTAGGCATCAAATGTGTGCCGGTTGGAAGCCGCCCTGAGTCCCCCCAAAG